AACAGGCAACACCCCCCCAAAACCGATTCTTTAACAGTTTTCGTTTAGTTTTCTCATTCATATTAACAGAAATATGATCTGGTCTAATAAATAGAGATGAATAAATACTGATCTGACATTTGACCTGTTTAATCTGATGTAATCTGCAGCGTCAGAGGAAACATGAACCTGCACAGCTGAGTGTGTTTGTGCTCTGACTGATGAATTTCAATCAGCAGCTGCTGCATTCGATGATTTCTCTTCTGTCTGCCGCGGCGCTGATTATCAGAAACATCTGCATACCGATGAGGAGGAGAGTCAGAAGCAGCTGCCAAACAAAAAACTGCTGAGTTTCTGCTTCAGACTCACGGAGCAGAAGGACTTTTATTGTTTGTGTCGTGCACCAGAGGCCGAGAGCAGCTTCCCATCGAGTGGAGTTTGTTACGTGTCGTCTCTTTGTCTTAACTGACTAAAAGCATCAATCCATTAAAGAAGTTTTTATTCTTTACCACGTTGTTCCCAAATAACAGTAAATGAAATATAATAACATCCATGTTGTTTTGATTTTGAAAGGTCACGCTTAATTTTTATAGAGAGCTTTAAAAGAGAAATCAGCTTCGTGCCAAAGTGCTTCACAACAAACATGATTGTGCAGAGATTTTTCACAAGGCAGAGTATTTATACCTGCACACACAAACACTCATTCAGAGTGCTGCAGGGATGACGTATTTCTGTAGGCCAACAAGCAGAAGTTAGCGTCACCCTGGTTCCCTCCACAAAAAACCAGCGGTATTTTTACACTGTAGAAAATGAGATCTGTGACAAACAACAGTTCATGACACTGACAGGTTTTGTTCAGCAGGATAATCTTCACTAATGAACACAGCTTTATGATCTTTGAAGTCTAAATATCTATCTAATCTAAATCTTGTACAAAAGCCTTTCCTATTACAAAGTTAGTAACAGTTTGTATAAACACAACGAGGCCGTGAAGGTGGACTGGTGGTTATTTCAGTCACCTGACTAAAAACACACTCAAAAAACCCATCAACTTCGGGACATGGGAACCCGGACTCATTCCTGTTGCACTCTATAGAATAAAACTCATGTCATGGATCATTGCCGAGGTGAGGAGGGGAGTAAAAGTAGCTCTTAAGACAACTTTTATAAATAGTTCATAGATTCTGCTTCTCTCATTTTTACAGGGAGATCATCCAGAGTCTTGGCGAAGCTACTGAGAAGACATGAAGCCTGGGACAAGACCGTGGGATTGTTAACCGCCCTGGCTGTACTGTAACACACAGTACCAGTCAAAAGTTTGGACACAAAGTCTATCCAAACTTTTAACTGGTACTGTGGGTCGGGGTGAGGCCATGCAGGGCTTCAAACACAAACAGGAGAATTTTGTGAGGAGCCAGTGCAAAGACGCTTATACAGGCTTGATTGGGTCCCTTTTTGAACGGCTGCATGAGTCTGCCTGCTGCGCTCTGGTCAAACCAAGTCAACTCAATTTTTATTTGTATAGCACCAATTCACAACATAAGTTACTTCAAGGCACTTTCCAAATACAGCACATCTAGACCTTCTCTTTAGAATATTATTTACAGAGAAACCAACAAATCTGGAGGAAATTAGAGCAAGGATGACATTTTCTAAATCTTTAGTAAAGAAAATCTAATTGTTTTTTTCTCCTCTGATTCTGAGGATCACATCACTGTGTTAAACTGGACTTTTTTCAGTCATGTCTGATGCATCTGTGGTAACAGGTTTAGACTAGTTTCACTTTGTTCTGTTAATCTGGTAACGCCTGCCTCTGCGTTTCTATACAACTAAACTGCAACAGCATGTAAGTTCTGTAGGAATCAAAGCTGTGACCGGATCACGGTCCAAAACCGTTAGAAATCGCTGTCTAAAAGAGAGACTTTCTACATTTCCCATAATGCAACTTTATGCTGTCTTTCTTCAGCCCTTCCCTGCCTGGTAAACAGACACGTCTTTCAAACGCCACATCTCCACACAATGCAAAAGACACAACTGTTTTCACAGTACGAACAGAATGACTGGACATCAGTTTAAAATCTGTTTTCCCCATTTAAACAGTTTTTCCAACGACACTCTACTTTTTGTGGAGACTTTATACGTTAAACTGACTTAGACAATCCCAAAAACAAAACGTTTAGCTGCCCATCTCTTTTGGAAACTGGAAAACAAGACTCCAACTAATGATTAATTTCATTATTGATTCATCTGCAACTGTTTTCTTTGTTTTGATTCATTGTTTTGTCCATAAAATGTCAGAAAATAGTGAAAAATGTTAATGCTATAATTTCCCTTCCTCTTCTAATGTCTTGTTTTTTCTCACCAAAAGTCAAAAGATATTCAGTTTAAAATCATATCAGACAAAGAAGATTCATATTCCCACATTTTTGGCCCTTTTTCACATTAATTTTCTATCAATCAACTAATTCATTAAATGACCAATCGTTGCAGCTTTACAAGACTGAATTGAAAGATGATAATGACTGGTTGATGCAAAGCCTGTGTGAGTCAGCCTGTGTGTTTAATTCAGTGTTTTTACTTCAGCCTGTCCTCCTCACTTTACATTTAAAATGAGGAGGTTATGGATGCTGCTTCTTTCCTGCAGAGCCTCTCACTGAGAGATAAATTCAACATTACAGAAACCTCTGATAACGAGCGGCGCACAAACCAGGCCCGACACCCGAAAACCATCACACAGGATCATTACTGCTGCTGAGCAGGGAGGCAGGGAGCGTTTGATTTTATTTTATTCTCATCCTCTTGGAGCTAAAAGCTTTGTGGATCTTCCACCAAGCAGTTTGACATCGATTCTGTTGATGCAGGTCGAAGCTCAAACGAACCTTAGCTCAGTTTAACGGAGACTCGTCTGAGCACCGGGACAAAAACAAAGGTTAACGTTGTACCTGAGCTGTAAATAGAGCTTCTGTAAAAGCAACATAAAAGAAAACTACTCAATCAATACTCAGTAAAAACATTAAGAAAGGAAGGTTTGGTTTTAAAAGTGAGGCTGACACATGAGGCTCTTAACCAAAAAAGTTAAAATATTTATATAGTTCGCGTAAATAGCATATTAAAATAGAATTGGCTATCAGGCTTTTCAAAATAAGAGTAACAAGAAAAAAATGTGTAAAATTTGTAGTTTTCAGCCACTTAAATGGTTTCCTTGACATTTGACCACTGTCCTATAAACCCTTATCTTTGATCAATATTACATACATGAGTCATGTCTGTCAGTACAACGTCCAGCAGGCAGAAGGTGGACCAGTAGCCTCTAAAGCCTACGAGGTAAACCCCTGGGGAAAAGAAGTTCACTCATCACGCCCTGCTGCTTGTAAAACCTAATTACTATTAACGAGGGGTATTAATTGAAGTTGAAGAATTGATGAATTGAATTAAAGTGCAGATGAACATTTTTATCAGCTCTTCTCTCCTGCATTTTGGCACCTGAACAGTTTTAGTGAAAACTTTTTACTGCTGTAGTCATTAAAACTGAGTTCCCCAAACATGGACAGCTATTGGTCAAGTCAGATTGATTGAACAGCCATCCAGCCAATCACAGCCAATTTCACCAATCCACCAGGAACACGTGTGTTCATGCAGAAATGTGGCATGTGTCACTCACCACTGGGACTTTTAAAAAGGTGCTATATATAAGTTTTTGATATTGCTACATAGCTAACGTTAGCATTAATGGCTGTTTAATTACCAGTCTAAAAGAAACGTTGTGAGTTCAACACCAAACCTTATTCCTTTACTTACATAGAGCTGTCTGCAGAGGTGGAAAGCAACCCCTTGTTTTGCTTCCATTTCTATCACTTATTTTCTTCTAGTGCAGTTAGCATGCTAAACAGCTAGCCCCAGCCCATCCCCGTCTTGTAATACTACTTTGAGTAAATGTACATATAGCACCTTTAAAGCAGCGAAGGAAGTTACATTTTTAAGCTGAATGAACTTGAAATAAGTTGCAGTGTGCACTTCACATTGTAGATTTGTATTTTGCATTTCTGTGTTTTTCCTCCTCAGGTCTGACAGCCAGATGTGGTTAAAAGTTCCTTGGTCCAGGCTCTAGATGAAGAGCGATCATGTTTTTATTGCCACGTTTTAAAAACCTTCCTGCACAGATTGTAATTTTTATTATTACATCAATGGCTTTATGTTGCTCTCTGCGTTTTATTTTATTTCTCAGTATGTTTGGCCATTGTCCATGTTTCAGGTGCATCTGTGAAACAGCTTGTAATGGAAAAGATTTACCTGAAATTAAGTTTGCTTCATTTGCTTTTATTTTTTCTGTCCTTTTTTTTCTTATTCTTATTCTTTGTGTTTTGCTATTTCAAGTTATAGTTTTTTATATTCTAAATGTGACCTATTGCTGTATGGGTTTACCACTGATGACATGTTAATTAATCTTTGATTAAAACCTGAAACAATTACTTGATTGACTGACTGACTTTATCACCAACTCTATAATGAAAATTGATCAATTGATGAAGATTTTAAGCAAAAACTTAAGCGATTTGCTGCTTTTCTCTCTTTTATATCACAATAAACTGAATATCTTTAGGGTTTGAACAGTTGGTTGGACAAAAAGAGACAGTTGAAGATATCAATCAGAGAATAAACAATTAATCAATGAATTGATAATGAAAATCGTCATTAGTTGCATCCTTACATCTGATTAAATTGTTCTGTCCTGTCAACAGAAATGCATCTTCTGTCAATCAAATTGAAATCTTTGCAAAACAGTGAAATTAATTTAAGCAGATTGCAGTGTGTGTGTGTGTGTGGTGTGTGTGTGTGTGTGTGTGTGTGTGTGTGTGTGTGTGTGTGTGTGGGTGTGTGTGGCGCGGGGAGTGTCACAGTGTTTCCTCACTCTATCATTTGTCTTATCTTTCTGGATTCTTCCACTAAAAACCAGCGGAGCTTCGCCAGAGCTCAGTCCGCTTTCGGGCGCCACAGCCCGGCCACGAAGCACCTGCCCGAACCGAAGACTGGTGTTAACTGTTTCTGCCGCTTCATCTGTGTCTCCATCTCCCGCCCTTTCTTATCACCATATCGTCCACTGCTGCACATGCACGCGTTGACAGGTGCGCAAAACGTGCACATGCACGCGCACATGTATGGATTTTAACCATGTCACAAAATACCACAACTATCTGAATAAAAACATATTCTTTGTCTTTTTTACACCTTTTCTGTGACCTGTTGAGACGTTTTAAACACTCAACCTTACTAACACACACAATCCCAAAGTCAGCAGCAGACTATGAGCCTTACCTTCTCTGAGGATCTGGTTGTGGAGGAGCAGGAGGAGCAGAAAGCAGACCGCAGCGGCAGTCAGAGCCCAGGCCAGCCGGAGGAGCTGCATGAGGGAGAGCTGCGAACCGCACCGGGCGCCAAAAAGTCCAAACTGAGATTATCCGCAGGCTGCTGCCTCCTCACGACGCCACATCCATCCCGATCCGATCCAGAGGACGGAGGCGAGAGACAGGTGGCATCTCCAGGATATGAAACCACGCGCGAGTCTGAAGTGACAAATCCAGAGTGGAGGAGGTTTTAAGCAGCAAAGAGGTGTTTCTTTCCCTCCCAAGACTCTCCGGGTGAAGCTGCCGGGGGTCCTCTCCGCGCTACCCGGTGCGTCACGGTGCGCAGCGGCGACCGGTAGCAGCTGCAGTAGCAGATACCCGGGGTGATCCCCTCCGCCGCAGCACTTTCACCAAAATACAAAATCTGCTCCAGGTGTGAGGAAGTTTTCCAGTTTCACAGCTCCCTGCGCTTCGGATCCACCAGGACTCTCCGTCCGCTCGTCCGCGTAAATCCCCCCAGAGGTGGAAGAACCGACACCGGGCCTGGCTGGAGCTGTTCAGCGGGCATGTTGCACGTTCCCTCCCCGCTGGGTAGTTCGCTCCTGGTCGATGCCCGAGTGGAGGAGGAGGAGGAGGAGGAGGAAGAGAAGGAGGAGACGCAGCTGCTGCCTCTGAGTGTGAAGATCCGCTGTGATCGGCAGCTTCCACACCGACTCTCTCTCTCTCTCTCTCTCTCTCTCTCTCTCCTCTCTCTCTCTCTCTCTCGCGCTCTATCACGGAGTGACGTCACACCGGTTACACTAACTTACCACCAACCAACACGCTGAACCCGAAAGTTTGTGTTCACCTGTGTTGGAGGGTTGAATGGCAGTTTTTAATTCAATTTCTGTTGCCACTAACGAGACACCATTTTAAGATGCAATTAGTAGTTCATTAACCGTTAGGCTAGTAAACGACTTCGGCTACTAGCTTCAGGAATCAATACTAAGTCGGTAATAATAAGGAACCGCTGACCTTCGTTGTAGTCTGACCAGGCAAAAATGGAGACCTGTGGAAACAATGACGTAGACACCCACGCGCACTCCCTGATTGGGTCTCATCAGCCTCGACCACCCGCGGTGAAAGCAACATGGCTAACGAAATACAACCGTTACTGAACAGTTAAATTCTGCATTTTAGTGCTACAACTTTCCGTTCCTCGTACGTACGATTTTGTACAGCTGACCGACCGCAGAGAAGAAGATCTGCTTCCTGTTTACGTCGACTCGCGCATGCCCAGTGTACGTGAATGGTCACGTGCCGTACGTTTTCAGGTGTTAGCTTATAGGTTTCAGACACGGAGCTAAAACCAGAGTATTCACTCTCACTGCTCAATCACTATTTATTATTAGCTATATCCATTCATTAAATACCCCATTTAAACACTTTTTAGCTCAATGACACTCTCCGACAGAATGCTCAAAATAATCTTAAACAATAGCAATTTAGCTAGTTTACACGGCCCCAATTTATAACACAAAACATGAAATGAAACACACACCAGCCTTGTGCCTCTATCAACCAGGTGCTGAGCAACCAAAAGATATCAAAATGTACTTTTAGAAAGCACCATTACCATCTCGACATTGTATTTTGAAATAAAAGCATGGCCTTCACAATAAAACCAGCAAAACAAACAAAAAACATAAGTTTCAGTAAATATTTATAAAACAATTGAACATAGGCAACAAATTGTGAAATTATGTTTGACAATATTTCAGGTCATTCAGGTCTGTTTGCTGCTGAGCAGGTGAACATAGTGGAGCATTTAGCAGCTAAAGAGCCAGATATTTCCTTTAGGAGGTGGTGGAGACCAAAAACAGAGCTAAAAGAGAGGGAACAATAGATTTACATTCATGAGGTGACACAAACAAACTTCAAATTAGTGGTAATGCTGCTCTGTAACAGCTAGATTTAGTAGTGTCAATAGATAAATGTTTGTTCACCTTATCTTTCAGGTTTAAAATGTATTGAAGGTCTAAATCCCTCCAACTATTCCAGGCATCATCATCTTCATCCAGCGTCTGACACAAATCTGTGCGAACAAGTGCTTATCTTATAGGCACAAGTTACTTTTTTCTTTCTTCATGAGCTCTGCAAAAGCAAGAAACCAGCTTTACGTCACTTTCAGTAACTTCTGCTAATCCAGCAGCCTCAGTCGTCCTGCTGCTTCCTCCATCATCCACTGACACGTCTGAATTTTTTTTGTCAGATATAATCCTCCTCTCTGTAAACAGTCTGTGCTGCTGTTGTTGAAGAAAAGTGTACATCCTCCAGTTGTTGGCGAGCAGCTCTGACAGCATGAGTTACTGCAGTAATCTACCAGCCAACGACTACTTTTATGTTTCCCCTGAACTGGCATGTTCTTGTGATCCAACTATGCAATCTGCTGCTCATTACTTTATGCTCTAATTACTGTGTTGTTTACCATAAAGAAATAAATTATTCACAGCTACTATAGAAACCGAGGCTGCAGTCGGCACACGTATGTTAAGATACAAACATGTACTCTTTATATGATTAAATTACATTTTCATACACTTTTATGTAATATGTCAAACTGAATATCTAGCTTTTTATATCTGTATGTTTACTATATATTTACAGATATAAGAAAAAGGAGTTGCATATTTGGAGTCTTGGGTCTGTCACAAGAATGATTTTTATTGTGTTTAATTATAAAAAAAAATAACTAAAAAGATATATTAAAAAAATATCCAAGTGAAGTAAATAAAACGAATTTGATTGAAGAGGGGTATATCCATTTTTTTCACCACTTAAAATATTCAAATATATATTTCTATACATGCTAAAAGAAGTATGGTGTCTGCAGTCATTATCATGGCAGACAAATCAATTGATAGCTGAAAAAGTAATTGCAAATTAATAAATTAGATTTGCATTTAGGCTATATAATGCATTAATGAACTAAAAAAACAGATCCAAGTGAAAACTCATAATACCTCATAATAGATATAATATATTAGATTTAAAGATAATTAATATAAATGTAAAATTGATATAAATGTTCTTATTCTAAGTTAAATTGGGATTCTTTTTTTGCATTTAATAATAAATAGTACAGTGAAATAAATAGTGCAGTAGATAATTTACTAATTTGATTATGTTTTGATTATAATTATCATTCATTTGTTTATCATTTAATAATACAGTAATTAATCTTTTTTTAAATGATCAGTTTATGGATTGATTACAACTGACCGGTGTAAAGGTTTATGATTATTCCAGTGGCAGTCTACAGGTGAATACAGACAAATATATTCTCAAGGAAAAATGAATTTACATGTATTTTAGATGATCAGTGACATTCCTATAAGAATGGTTATATCAGTAAATTTGTCCAACATAAAAAGCTCACGTTGCTACTGTACTGTAAAGTTATAATAGTAAATACAATATCTATAAAAATATATGATATATGGGATTAATAGATGGATGATCTTTACATTAAAGCAAAGAGCTGTCTGGAGACGTTTGATGAGCACTCAATCTCTTCTGAAGATTCTCAGGCAGAAACAAACATTTGTCCTCCATGTTGAGTGTTTGGAGCAGAGTGATGTTTGATGGTTGATGGAGACGTCTGACGATTACAGCAGCAGCAGTGTGTCGGCTCTGCAGCCTCCCGCTCCTCTCTCTGAATGAATCCATCCAGCTGATTGATCGTTCAGCCTCAGAGGCTCCAGGTTACGTTCAGGCTCTTATCAAAGCTCTCAGCAGCTCCCCGTCTGTCAGAGAGACTCCATCACCGCTGCCCTCCTGCTCTGATCTGGATCTGTTTCCATCAGGTCGCGCTCCCTGGGCCTGTGGCGGGAGCTGATTATTGCTGATGTTTTCCCGCCATCGATTAGCTTTCCGCGGAGCAGTCAGTCAGCGGCCGGGGGTGTCGTCTGAGACGAGTCTGGAGAGAGAGATCAACACAAACACTGTCAGGACTCATCTGGTGTCTGTAGCAGCGCAGGAAATGAAAACTGTCCATTTGACAGGATGGAGAGTCGGGGCGATGAAGACGGTTCAGGCCTGAAATCAACACCTGACAAATAACTGCAACCACCAACTCTGACAAACTCCCAGCCCACATGCAGGAAAGTGAATCTGGATATCACTTCATCTCTCTGAAGGAAGCTTAAAGCAAATGGTCAAGTGTTCGGGACGAGTTTTAGAGTCCTACTTTTGTCATAACCTCCTGGGACACAACGGTTTACGTTATTAGTAAGAAAGAAAATGAACAAATCTTTTCCACTGAGACTCTTTGGAGTTAGGTATGGACCAGGTCTGCACTGGTTCGCATCTCTTCTAGGATCCAGCCTCATCCTCACACTCTGAGTCTGACGTCGCCTCCTGCCAGTGATTGAGATGAAACAATTATAGTCTTAAGCTGTTTCACAAACTCACTGAGCTCTGAGACAAATTTAGCTTCCAGTTAAATAGCGCAGGTGATCACTGCCCACCTGCGCCCGCTGCTGAGATCCTTCAAAGCCGTATACTCGACTCGACTGCTCCTCCACAGTCCTACAGCCTGACGTGCCATCTGTACGCACCACCTGAGCGCTTCAGAGCTCGACAGAAATAGTTCATTTACCAGAGGCGGACTCTCCTAAGTCTGGGACAACTGTTTTTGTTAAGTATTGATTTAAATACTTCAGTTCTAATTCATTTTTTGTTTTGTCTACTGTCATGCAACCCTGTATTTTGATACTGAACATATGT